TATCAAATCCGTTGATGGCTGAGGGTTTGCCAAAAATCCTACGCACATTTGCAGGCCCATCAGCTTAATAGATGTGAGTCGAGACTTAAAACAGATGCGCCAAAGACAAGTCTCAAAGACTTAGTCAAAAATGCACGGAAGCCACTTCCATGTCTTAAGTCAAAATGTTGACCCGCGATGCAAAAAACCAAACGCCGAGGTCACACCTGTGTTCCAAATTCAACATGCAACGGTGAAACCCGCATCTCAAGTTCAAAATGCAGGGTCCACCCCCACATTCCAGAAGCAGGATTATGGCACATACCTTCACACAGGTCCTGCATGGAAAATCCGTTCAACCAAGCTGCTTTCGAAGCGAGTGCAGAGAACAACTCCTTTGTGACAAGGAATCAACAGCTCCAAGATCAGAGTTGAGATCCAAAGTATTCCGAAAATTCGTCCCAGTCAACCGCGAACTTTCGAAAACTTTGGAGGGGGTTCTGTAGGCTGTCTAAAAATCACAATAGATAGTTAATCCCTCATCAAACACCGATGATGGAAGTTATAATCTGACGACTTCCAGAAGGCTACAATTTGAGGACTTTCACGTAGAAGGTTACAATCTGACGACCTTCACAACAACTAATGAAGGCCCCAATTCAACAGCATTCACAATCAACATCGGGAGTTACAACCTGACGACTCTCATATTTTCAAGGAGCCAAGACGAAGATTACAAGAGGACGATCTGTGCAAAGCTCTAGCAAAAGAGACTACAAATTGACGGTCTCTTCATATTAAAATGCAGATATCTCTCAAACCGTAAGGAATTTGGCAAAACGGAGGAAGCGAACCGAAGCCTTCGGCTAGGTTCGGATGGCCCCGTCTCGTCGAGATAGCCGATTTTCATATGTAATTCGTCCAATTCCGACGTACGGTTTGAAAGTTATGACCTGTTCTTCGTAGCAAGTAATGTTCTGAAGACCGTCTGCAAGACTGGACTTCATCAGAACATTGGACTTAGCCTGAAGCCCGCCAAGCCCGCCTAAGGTTCGCCTCTGCATTACAGAGTCAAAGCGCACATGCTCAACTCTGCGTTTTCAACATCAAAACGCAGAGTTAATCGCTAAAACAGCACAACTGTGCGTTTTCAGCCTTTAAACAGGCTCAACTCTGCGTTTTCAATCTAGAAACGCAGAGTTAATCTTTAAAACAGCACAACTGTGCGTTTTTAGCCTGAAACAGGCCAACTGTGCGTTTACGGCTCAACTGTGCGTTTATGGGCTCAACTGTGCGTTTTTAGCCTGAAACAGGCCAACTGTGCGTTTACGGCTCAACTGTGCGTTTACAGGCCCAGCTGTGCGTTTTCAGCCTCAGCTGTGCGTTTTCAGCCTCAACTGTGCGTTTTCAGCCCAGCTGTGCGTTTTTCAGCTCCAGCTGTGCGTTTTCAGCCCCAGCTGTGCGTTTTTCAACCTCAACTGTGCGTTTCAGGTCCAGAAACGCACAGTTCGAGCCCAGAACGCTGTTTTCAGCGTTTAACTCGTTCAAGCACGATTTGAACGGTTCCAGAACCGTTTTCTCCCCAAGATTTTAGGGGATCACTACCCTATCATGGAGAGATTTATGGGGAGCAGTTAGACCCCATTAAACCCTCATTAAGGAGATATTTAAGGGGGCGGTTATACCCTTAACCCCCTATAAATACCTCAAAACTCAACTGAGTTCGGATCCTCTTTTTTGGAGGGGGGGAGCTGACTTTTTGGGGATCCTTGATCGAGCATCTTGCCGCGTTCTGCAGCAACAAGGAGTTTTGGAGACCAGCAACAGGAGCTTCTTCCTTGGCTTCTTAACCGAACTTTCGGTTCAAATCAACTCTTTTTCAAGAGTTCAAACTCGTTCAGAGTTATCAACTCGATCAGAGTTCAAAACTTGCTCTGCAAGTTCTTCTAAAACTCGTTCAGAGTTATCAACTCGATCAGAGTTCAAAACTTGCTCTGCAAGTTCTTCTAAAACTCGTTCAGAGTTATCAACTCGTCAAGAGTTATTTCAAAACTTGCCACGCAAGTTCTCCACAGCGTCAAATCGTGAGGAGAAGACATCGTTCCAGTGAATCAAGACGTTCGGATCGTCAACGAGAAGCAAACTCGACGCGAGCATTCGAGTGAGGCATCTCATCGCCACCGTGAAGAACCCAGAATTAAACAAAGGGGAGAATCAAATCCATTCTCCTCTCTTTTGTAATCGGAATCCAAATTGTAATTGATTTTGAGAGAAATACAAGTCAAATTTCTTTCATTGTCTTTTTACTGCAAATTTCCAACAAGAGGTTGGGGTTGTTTAGTTCTTAATGCATAGTCAAGATCCATGCAGCCAAGAACAATTAATATGTTCTCTTTCCAAACCTTGAAGTTTGTCCCATTTAGCATGGGAATTGAGTTGATGTTAGCAGAAATTGTTGCAGCAGATGCATTAGCTGAAATAAAACAAAAATGCTCACATCAATAATCATAATTATTAATTAATAAAATTCAAATAATGACAATCCCCATCCAAGATATCTGACACAACATTAATATCAAGTCTTTGGACAGTAATATTAACTTGTAAGTGATACCTTGTTGCAATGATCAAACATTGACAATAACTCATGTCAAATAATGAAACTATCTTTGGATCGATTCATTATTCACATGTAAACCTTATAATTGTTACACGCTTATCATCGCAGATGTGTATACAGTCTAAATAAATATTAACCTTCCTTTGGGCCGATTAAATATTTACACGAAAGCATACACACAAACATCTCACATTCCTCATGAACAATCTACACAAGAGAGGTTACTTTGGCAACTTCTTGTTTCAATTAATCAATTGGAGTGAGAGACAACCTTAATACCTTAGTGTCATAATATTTGAATTAGATAATTGATTAAAAACCAAATTAGATTTAAATTTTAATTTAAATCAACTGAATTTCTAAAAACTTAATTGGGGTCTCACAGCTTAATTAGGGCCCATAACTTAATTGAATAAATTAAGTATACCAAAGTGGACCCATGAAAAGCCGAGGCTTAACCATAGTGAACACGAAGTTTGCTTGACTTCGAACGCGAGGTTCGACTGTATTGAGTACGAGACTCACTTAAGCACGAACGCGAGGTTCGTTTGAAAAATGAATGTGAGGTTCAACTTGAGAACAAACACGAGGTTCGTTAAAAAAAATGAACGCGAGGTTCGACTGAAGCACGAACGCGAGGTTCGTCTGAAGCACGAACACGAGGTTCGTCTGAAGCACGAACGTGAGGTTCGTCTGAAGCACGAACGCGAGGTTCGACTGAAGCACGAACGCGAGGTTCGTCTGAAACACGAACGCGAGGTTTGACTGAAGCACGAACGCGAGGTTCGTCTGAAACACGAACGCGAGGTTCGACTGAAGAACGAACGCGAGGTTCGTTCAAATTAAGCTTGACGCTCACCTGAGTTGAGCGCGAGGCTCACATGAGAACGAACGCGAAGTTCGTTAAAATTGAGCTTGACGCTCACCTGAGTTGAGCGCGAGGCTCACATGAGAACGAACGCGAAGTTCGTTAAAATTGAGCTTGACGCTCACCTGAGTTGAGCGCGAGGCTCACATGAGAACTGAACGCGAAGTTCGGTTAAATTTGAGAACGAACGCGAGGTTCATTTGAGGTAACCACCTCCTTAATTTTCGCCACGTTTCACGTACGAACCCTTAGGGTTTCAAACTGAAACCGCCGCCATTAAATCAAAAAACAGATCTAGAATAAAAAAAATGAGTTTTTTCTTGATCCAGATCCAAGAAAAAACCTCCGAAAAATCCAAAAAATTCCAAAAAGTTACTGTTCATCCGGGAAAAAACTTTACTGTTCACCCGAAAAATTTTTGTTGCTGTTCATCCGAACAAAAAACTTTTCTGTTCATCCGAACAAAAAATTTACTGTTCATCCGAAAAACAAAACTGAATCTTTAACCAGAGATTTAAGATCAAAAACCCAATAAAACTTAAATCCCTACGAACTAATCAAGGTGGCTCTGATACCACTTGTTAGATCTGAATCATAAAACTTGAGATCTAAAACCATATAGCCATGATTAATTCAAAGAGATTAACAATAATCAAAAGAGTGGAAGATTATACCTGAATCCATAGATTGATCTTGATTTTGGGTTTTGGATCTTCTAACCTTAGGGTTTTCTCCTTTAGCCGAATTTCTCTCTTAGATGGGAGTGAAGAAAATTAGAGAATGTAACCCTAGGTTAGGGACCATAACCCCTTATTTATAGATATTGTACTTTTGTAATTTAGCCCCTCAATAAATTATAATTACAACCTGGTATCTGCACATATAACCCCATGACTTATTTAAATACCCAATTAACCCAAATTAATTGATCACTTTAGTGGGTTATCCTGAAAGATAGCAATACACATTGATTAATCATATGTGCCCACAATTAGATTTATTAGATTAAATCCAACAAGGAATACTCTCTGAAATCGGTTTGAGCTCCAAATTCTACCTCAGGAAGGCCTTTGCAGCATAACATTCAACTTCATATTTGGGTCACATCTAAGGCGAATTCCAAGCCAAAGAACTATTAGAGGAACAAAAAATAGCAGAAGAATATCCTTTTTTAAATGTTTAATAGAAAAGCATATGAAACTTAAACGTGTGTCGAGAGCAAGAGAAGGATGTTGATTAGTATAGAGAATGAATATTGGGAAAAGAATATGTTATTTTTCTTAATCTAATGAAAGAATACAATGGTCCTTATATAGAGAGAGGAGTGAGCTATACAAGGAAGTAATACTAATATACCATGATTCTAGGAATCATAACTATACCATATATATCTATACTATATATATTTATACCATATATTCTAATACCATATGTTCTAATACTTCCCCTCAAGTTGGCACACATATGTCAAACATACCCAACTTGCTAATTAACTTGTGAAATATCTTCCTCGTTACTACCTTGGTGAGTATGTCAGCCAGCTGATCTTCCGAGCATACATGAGGGACGGAAATAACTTTCTCTTCTAACTTTTCTTTGATGAACATGCTTTGTCCTATCATGCTGAACTGGATTATGTACGATATGGCATGATGCTTTGTTATCACAGTATAGCATCATAGGTTCTTTTGGAGAGAAACTTAGATTTGTCAGTAGTAATTTCAACCATAATAACTCTTGGATACCGATTGCCATTCCTTGATATTCTACTTCTGCGCTTGATCGGGATACCACATTTTGCTTCTTACTCCTCCAAGTAACCAAGTTCCCCCCTACAAATGTGAAGTACCCTGATGTAGACCTTCGGTCACATATATTTCCTGTCCATTCAGCATCAGTATATCCTTCAACCTTTAGGAAGTTCTCATTTCTTTGAAACAAGATTCCTTTTCCAGGGGCTGCCTTAAGATAGCTGATGATCTTCATAACTACCTGCATATGCTTCTCCCCTGGATTATGCATGAACTGACTGACGGTACTCAATGCATATGATGTATCAGGCCTTGTATGTGTCAAATACATCAATTTTCCCACCAATCTCTGATAGCGCCCTTTATCAACGGGCACTTGTTCTGTTTCAACTTCTAATTTCACTCCTTCTTCCATTGGAGTTTCTGATGGTTGACAAGCAGACATCCTAGTTTCATTTAGCAAATCTAGAGTATATTTCCTCTGAGATAGGAAGATGCCTTTCGATGACTGATAATCATATTTTATTATAATTTTCTACCCTCATTATCTATTTTATATGAATAAATATACCACTAATAATTGCTTTTATATTTAATTACAGGTTAATGAAGAATAAATCCTAAAAATCCCATCTCTCAACAAAGGCCATAGAGTAAATGAATAAATAAGTGAAATTCAAGAAGCCAAAGTAAAATATTTGAATTTTAAAAGCCCAAATGTCCCAAATGTCCATGGCAGCTCCTCCTCTCTTTTCACAAATTTGAATTTTAAAAGCCCAAATGTCCCAAATGTCCATGGCAGCTCCTCCTCTCTTTTCACAAATGAATTTTGAATTTTTGGAGGCCCAAAACCCATCAAGAAACTCAACCAATTCTCAAGTGAAATATAAGGATGTTAAGGCCCAAAGCCCATCAAATGAATACACCAAATCAAGCTCCATTAGACCGGATTATGCTGCAGCTCTTCACCTTTTGATTTTGAAAATCAAATACTGGACTTTGGATTGCTGGAATTGCTCTAGGTCGGACTGGACTGCTGCAGTTTTTGGGCCGAAAATCAAATGCAAGGATTGGGCCGGTTGTTTGAATGTGCTGCAGATTTCCAAAGATGAAGACCGGACTTGTTTTCTAGGCTGGACCTAATGCAATGCAACTTGGATTTTCATTTTTGAAATCAAAATCATGAATGGGCCGAACTTGGAATGAATGTTGCAGACATGGGATTTACATCAAATGAACTTTCATTACATGGGCCGAAAACAAATGAAGCTATAATAGGCCAGACTTGCTTGGATTTTCACAAGAAAATCAAATGAAATATGAACTTAGTTGCTGCAATCAAAACCGGACTTGGAAATGTATTGGGCCTTGGAAAATCAAATGAATGTTGGGCTAGAGAAGAACAAAAAGCAAATTCAAATGTGGAGATTGTTGCTTGGGGCTCAAGACAAATCCAATGGCTCATATTCATTGAAGATTACTATAAATAGGGGTAGAGAGTGAGGGGTTAATGGTGTGAAAAATTTTGTAAACTCCTTTTGGAGAGGAGGGCTACTCTTAATTGAGAAGGCCTTCCAAAAATTGTAACTTTAGTTGCAATTAATAATAATAAATTTTCCCTCTTTAAATTTGTTCTTTCTCCTCTTTGTTGAATGATGAGGATGGAGATGAAGAGCAAATTGAAGGTTTGTATTTCTTTTCTCTTTTATTTCTTTTTAGTAATTTTTTTATTATTGCTTATTAGTTAGATTTAAATTCATGCTTGTAGTATAGATTTATTTTCTTGTCTTTTTATTTCTTTTTGCAATTTAATTTGTAGAATAGATTTATTTTCTTGCATTTAATTTTTGTAATATATTTTGTAGTGTAAATTTTTATTTTCTTTGTAGTTAGATTTATTTATTGTTCATAGTTTAGATTTTTCTTTTCTTTTTATTTTTGTAATTAGTTCTTTTTCTTGTTTTTATTTCTTAAAGATGTGAATTTAATTCTTGTAGGAAGTTTAGAATTATATAAAACTAGTCTAATTTCCTTTATATTGTATGAATTATTCTCTTGCACTTAAAATGTTCATGTTTAGGATAATCAACTAGAGAACTAATCGGTAGAAGAAGAATTTGATAATCTATGCTTATCTTAAATGGTTTGATAGGTTATGCTTATGAATTCTAGGATTATTATCATGTTGTTGTTCTTATCATGAATAGTAATTTTAACTTAGATGATAATTTGATAGGTTACACTTTCCTTAAATGGTTTGATAATCTATGCTTAATAAATCTAAGTTGAAATATGATAAAAAGAGAATAGTTTATATTTTGTAATTGAAATTGGTTAGTGGATTATATTCTAGATTTCTTACCTCTTTTGAATCCTTCATCTTAACTTTCTTAAATTTTCTTTTCATTTTTGGTTTTATTTCTTGATTTTATTAATTCATATTTCTTGCCTTATGATTTCATTTATTCTTTAATTCTTCCTTCTCTCCTCTAAAATTCAATTTATTACCTCTTGCATATAAATCAAAACAACCACTCATACAATCACACTTATTCTTTATTCCTAATTGTCACGCACAAAATATAAGAACCAAGTTTAATAATCTCTTAAAATCACCTTCTTCGTGGGATCGATATCTTTTTATACTATAACTTGATAAATTGTGCACTTGCAATTTTGGTACATAATTATGCCGCATCAAGTTTTTGGCGCCGTTGCCGGGGAAGGTGCTAAAATAGGATTTTATTAACTTGATTCTTTAACTTGTGTATTTTTCTTGTGAAGGAACCGCTTGGAGCTTGAAAATCTTAGATTGAAGATCAAGAATTTGGAGCATTGCTTTCGGGTAAGTCTTCTTTCTAGTTTTCAATTCCACCCTCTTTAGTTAGATTTACAATTAGAGACAATTAGGATTTAAAAAAAAGATTTTATTTTTGTTGACCATAATAAAATTCATCTTTCACTTGGACATTAACTAACAAGATAATAAATTCAAACATGAGTCATCTTCTCACATTTGATTGTTGTTGACCATAATTTAAAAAAAAAAGATTTTCTTTTTTTTATACTTTTTAGTCGCTTTTAATTTCTAGGATTGCATTTCATATAGTGTAGGAATTCACCAAAGTGATTGTTGCACTTGATTTGGCACACACTTAAAACATTCTTATGGGCAAAACCCCAATCAAGATAAGGTAAGGGATTTCATCACCCTTTCCTTAGCCCACAAATCACTAATTCCTCACTTCACAAACCCAAGCCTTCTAAAACTCATTAGACGTTGGCCCCTAAGGATTCGAGCTCAATAAGGAACAAGAAATCCTTAAGTGAACGGTTTAAGTTTTCTCAGAATAGTTGGTGTCTAAGGCAAGGTTTAGGGGTTGCGTAAAGCGCTCCGCAAGGAAAGAGGTACTTAATTGATCTTTGATCACCCTCTAGTACTATCCTTACCTGGCTAACTACCTGGGTAAAACTTTGATATTTTCACTGTAGGAGTTTTTGGTTAGGAGCTGGTCTAGTGGAGTTAGGCTAAACCCTAGAATTAGAGTTGATTGAAAAGTGACTGCTTTGATTTATTTTAATTAGGATTTTTTTCTTTTCCTTTATCTCCTCATAAAAAAAACTAATTTTCTTTCTTTCTTTCCTTAAAAAAAATTTGTTTTGGTGTATGCAATTTTGGGTTCGGGATAATTTTCATCGCTTAATCCGTGTTGAACCAATCTAAGAAATAGCAAATCAACCAGTTCTTCAGGATATGTGTTACCCCACCAGAAATGCAATTCCATCTTGCATAAGACTCCCCGAAGTAAATGGAGCAAATTTCGAGCTTAGACCGTATTTCATAAACATGCTTTCCAAATTCCTAGGTAATAAAACAGAAGATGCATATATATATTTATCTCGGAATTTGAGGAAGTATATATTATGATTAAAATGAGGGAATTAACTGAAGATGCGATTAACCTTAGATTTATTCCATTTGCTCTTAAGGACAAAGCTAAAAAATGGCTGTACAGCTTACCGATAAATTCCATCTCAACTTGGGAGGAATTTGTCACCGTTTTTCTCAAGAAAATTTTCCCTATTCACAAAACAGTAAAGCTTAGGAACATCATTCAAAATTTCAAAATTTTCCTGGGAGAGCCATTCTGGAAATATTTCGACCGATTTAAAGATCTTTTAATCCAATCACGGTCTAGGAAAATGGCGATTGTGTCAAGTCATATATGAAGGATTGGACTATTCTTCAAAAACATCTTTAGAATCAATGTGTCAGGGAGATTTTATGAGGAAAAACGCCGATGAAGCTTGGGAATTCCTAGAGAGTCTATCCGAGAAAACAATGCAGTGGGAAAACTGTGATGACAGGGTTTCATCTGTTTCCCAATCTAAGTCTAGTGGTCTTTCCCTGGAGTCAAACATTGCATCTGAAGCGAAGATGGCGACGATTCTGCGGAGGTTAGAAGCCTTAGAAGTTAAGGAACGAGCTCCGGCTCAAATCAATCATATTTCTGCCCCGGGATGTCATAACTGTCAGTCTCCTACCCATATTTTAGAGAAATGTCCTCTTCTAGGAAACAACCACGCTTTAGAACAGATGAACGCTGCATTCCAGCGCCCTAGAAATGATCCATTTTCTCCAACCTACAATCCAGGTTGGAGAAATCATCCCAGCTTTGCCTGGAACCAAGGAAATTCTCATGGGAACCAAAACTTCATTCCTGCGTCAAACCAACAATTCCCTAGGGGAAACACTATCCCGTTCAATGCACCGAACAATTTTTCTAACCCACCTTTTCCAAACCAACATCCTAATCCTCACCAGCCCACAAATCAATCAAATTCCGATCATGACAAACGTTTGAGTGTCTTAGAAAAGGGTTTAGAAGCTATGATCAAAGCTTCTACACAAACTACCAACATGTTGACCCAATCATCCACCACTCTAAATTCATTCATGCAAACCACCGGCCAAGTGCTCAACTCGAACACACAAGCCATAGCCCGGTTAGAAACCCAACTTGGGTAACTAGCCGCTACCGTGAGTGAGAGAGAAAAAGGAAAATTCCCTAGTCAACCTGTTGCAAACCCTAAAGACACTAGATCCAATTCCAACAATCCAGCTCAACTGAATGCAATTCACACTCTGAGACCAGGAAAACAAATAGACAATCAGGTTAGAATGCCACCGGATCAAACCCCTTCTCCCATTCAAAACACTCCTTCCGACGAAGCAATTCCTTCTGATGACCAAAATGCTGAACTTGAGATTGAGCCTGAAACAATTCCTTCCGATGACCAAAATGCTGAACTTGAGATTGAGCCTGATCTAGATAGGTATAGGCCCGTTGCCCCCTTTCCAGATAGACTCAAACCTAGAAAAAACTCCCCGCAGGTTGAGAAAATCCTAGAAACATTCAAACATGTCAAGATCAACATCCCTCT